TCACATATTTCTTATTTGAATATTCTGCCAAAACCAGGCTTATAATTTTTTTGACTCATGTTGAAAGAGAAAACTAGTTGTGGCATACAAAAAGGAAGATGCAATTATTTAAGGTGAAGCCGATCGAAAAAACAAAACAAAACCCCATAGGACAGTCTTAGAATAGGAAACAGTTCAGGAAAAATCTTTTTTCCTATGCGAACAGGTTTGGGAGGATGTGCTAAGGTGAGCTGATGCGGAAACAGACATTTGCATCTAGGATCAGGCCAACTCTACCTGAAGCTCCTTTTACGGGAAGGACCAGAGTTTAAAGAGAGCAGGATAGACCAGGGGAAACCATATTCAAAGTGTAGCACCAGACTTTTCTGTTATATTGAGCCCATCTGCATTGGAGCCGACAACTCATGCTTGTCCCTCTGCGTTTTCTACCTGCATAAAGTTGGCGCCTTTGTTTCTCTGCTCGACATGCAGATGTGCAGATTTCTCACCGGAGGACGTGCTCCGAGAGCAGGCTTCCTAAGATTCCGGCCAAAGAACTGCCTTCCACATCCGTACTACTTACCACTTCCTTTAGCACCAATGACTCCCACTGGAAGAGGAACGTGGTTGTGCTGTATCTCCCACCTCCAAACGTTTCCCCAATTTACAAATGCCGAACAAAACAATTCTTGCCACACCGCTTCAAGGAACTGTGGCACACTGGAAAACACCCCTCTGAGTAGAGAAGTCTATTCATAGAGAGCATGTGATTTTGTTAAATCTCAGTTGACTTCAGCTGCCAATGTGATCAGTTTTCTTCTGAGGGAAACCACCTTTTGGAGCGGTGAATGTTTAGAATCAGGAAATACAAGCCAAGCCGAGGGTCCGTGTCCACAGAGTCCATGGTGGGCACCAGCCGAGCTGCTGCAGCTGTCTCCAGAGCTGTGGACAGACGGAGGGTTTGGCCGCCCCTTGACCAACCCTGGGTACAACAATGCATCAGGATTTACTCCGCAGGATTGTTCAAGTCACCAGAATGGTGTTCCACAAAACTTGCATGTAAAATTGTCAACAAGAAACACAGTAAGAAATGAATAAGGAAGCTAAATATCACATGCAAACTAGTATGCAAATCCAACTTTATTGATATTATGTATAAATTAGAACTAATCTGGTCTTGACATACAGTATTAAAATCAACTTCTTTGAGGTCAATATATTAATCTTCTACTCCAGGAAAAAGCAAGTCTACTGGTTATACGAGAAGTACTGGTATGATGATTTCATAAATTATTCAAGTCTGTGTAAACACTCCAGTTAAGAGATGATAGATACCTGGATTTACTTTCTGATTTCTCAATTTACACATGCACTGTAGCTCTGTTGCTTGATTTGTGTGTGTGTGTGTGTGTGTGTGTTCTTTTTCTTTTCCTACCTGATGGGATAGGTTTATCAATAGTTACTTAAGACAGCAATTGAGTGGTTAAATGACCTCATTTGGCCCCAGGCATGTTCTAAAAATTGAAAATAGTTGTCAGCATTTGAAAATAGGTAGCTCCCTTGCATCCTCTCCACTCCACACCCATGGTGGTGCCCCTTGCAGTTCCACACGGCATTTTGGTTGCTTGTCTGGTCTCTGTAAGCACATGTTTGCTGACATTTTAAACATTTCAGATGTTTAAAATCTTTCCACTGTATCATGGCTTAATAGCATGCTGGCACTGGATTTGTGGGTCAGACTATGGTGGTCTATCATTCTATACAGCTTGAACAGAAATGATAGGCAATCAGTCATTTTATAGTCAGTCGCTCCTTCATAAGGATGATCCCCGACTACACAGTGGTTAAAGCTAACCAGAAGTTCAGTGGTTCTAACCCATCTCCTTCTCCAAGGAAGAAAGATGTGACAACCTTCTTAGGAAATCCTATGAGGAGTCCTACTTTGTCCTATAGGATTGCTATGGATCAGAATGCACATGGTGACCTTGGGCCTGGTTTGGTTTTCTTTCAAGAGGCCTTATTTTTGGGCTGCTTTAAGGCTCATCTCTTACCTGGAAACTGTTACATCATGATGCCTTTGTGCAGTATTTCCTTAAGTCCAAGTCTACTGATTCCCTGGAGAGGATGTAAACTTTTTAATATTGTCTGAAATGTGTCCTTCTTTTCCCTAATAGTACTATACTAGGAATCAGAAGTCCCATTCTTTACTTTCCCTCAAGGGCTCCTGAGTCTCTCTCTGCCGTTTCCATCTGAGATGGTGAGGTGAGGGGTAGCTCATACTGCGGTTCATACTCTTTCCTATAAAATGACTGTAAAATAAAAGAGCTGCCAAAACATTGCGCTGGGAGCTGAGAATATAGGAATAGCCACACAATTAGTTTTGACTTGAATGAAATTTAAAAAAATATATATAAACTTTTCTTGATGGGTAGAAAATATGATAAAAATGTTACACTTGTATAATTTCTTTAAGAATATTAAGATCTTACATGATACAATTTTCTCACCTAAAATGTGTTTTAAATTATGTTTTAATGTAGCATACTAGCACTTAAACTGTTGAGTGCCATGATGGAGCATACAATAAATAAAACAAAACCCCCTTGAAATGAACTATATTAGCAGAAACTAATACTTGTGAACCAATGTGAATTTTAATAGCTAAATTTAAACATTTTTCTTAACACTAAAAAATCAAAGTTTATTGTACTTATTTTAATACTAATTGATAATTGCCTAGGTCCAGTTGTGTGTGTGTGTGTGTGTATCATTTTATAGGCAATGTCAAATGTCCCCACTATTACCTTCTACACCAGGAATTTAATGACCTAGAAGGTGTCCTTTTTTTTGCTTGCTTGTTTGTTTTGCTTTAAAATCTCTAAGAATTTAGGTAGGGAAAGAAAAGAGGCATTAAAAGGACAGCTGATAATCAAATTTTGATCAGTTATAGTCTTGTTAGCTGTAGACCCTTCTGGATACTTCTTTTTTTTTTTATAACCGCCCCCCCTCTGGATACTTCTATAGGAGGAAAAAAATGCTGTAGAACTGTGAACTCTCCCTACAACTCTCATGAGATCAGACAAGATTAGCTAATTTATCATATGAGAAGCAGGTTGTTCACAACTGTACAATTAATTTATTCTCTTGACTTTTAGCTTGGGTATCAGAAACCCTTTATTTTATGCAGAAATATAGATAGGTTCCCGTCCTGGAAGCTGCCAGTATTGACCATTTTCCATTATCTCTTCATTCATTTCTCCATGAACCTTTTGAAGTCCTCTCATATACCCTTTACCTAATTCTGTGAATAATAATGAGTCTTTTTTTAGAAGATGTTTGTACTACGTTGATTTGGGTGAGGCCATTAAAAAAAAAAGATGTGCTACATCCTAAAGTTTTATTTGAATAGGTTCAACATTGTTAGCTAAATGCAGAAATGTCTCAATTTAATATCTTTGGACCATGGATGTCATGGTCTCCCAGAGATTGGTCAGGAAACACATTATGATCCCAGCAGAGTCACAAACTCTTAGCATGAGGTGGTACCGGGCTATCAGTGGATTCACTCTGAAAGTCCCGGCAGCTCTGGGACTCATTTGCCAACAATTTAATAAAATGCAGAAGTAGAACTGGTCCAGGTTTTACATTCTTTGAGATTTCTAGGAACTAACAGCTTAAATCATATTAGACAAACACTGAGCTGTGAGACAAGGGGGGACCTCCATCCTTGGTGGCAATCAGGGAAAGGTGAGAGACTATGGAGACGGCTTGGCCTTCTTGTGGGGCAGGAGCCAGAAAGCCAATTGGCAAAGGACCTTTGAAAGGCTAGTGTCCCAGGCCACGATCCCCGCCACACAGCCGCTCTCCTGACCATCTGCATTATCCTTAAGCTTTATTCCCCACACCAATGTATAGTTTCCAAGAATAACTTGCGCATGGAAGGTTTGCTGCCTTTCTTCACAGAGCTTCGCTGCATAATTCCACATCAAAACAAATTGAGGGGAGAGATTCTTATCTTTCCACATTTCCCAAGCCCCTGCAGATACACTGGAAGATATGCAATTGAAATACTGCATCACTCTGAGGGCTCAGAACATTGCTTGCGTTATTTTTCTCTAACTGCAGGAGTAGGAGACATAAACATGCTCACGTCCTTAAAGTGGACACTCATGAATCAAAAAGCCTTGAGTCCGTGTTTCTGAACGTCAATGACACTGCTGCACTGTATTTTGGATCGACCCTGTCACTGCTAAAGCTTTTTTTAAAAATGAATCTCAGTGTATTTCAAGAGCATACACACATGTCCTGAAGTCATTCGTCCTTGGGACTTTTGTCAGTGCTTCCTTGGCCTCTTCTTAGGCTGCACATGACTTAAAGCAGGCCTTCCACAAGTCATGTGAAAGATCTCCCTAGGGCTTCCTGATGGCAGGGCACCTCTGCGCCACAGAGAAAGCAGGCACTGGCTGTGTGCTGGCACTGACGGGCCTAAGCCCCAAAGCACCAAGTTCCCAGCTCTCGGAACCCGTCTGGGTTTCAGGTGATCAATAAGGAAATTGTGGGTGCCGCAGTGTGGGCGTATGACCGGTTTCCTTTTCAACCTTGACTTTCATATATACAATCATTTTTCTGAGGACAATGTAGCCACCGAACTATGGCTTTCCAGAGCACTGACCTATATGTGGCAATAAAAGGAAAAAACAAAATCCCAGCCAACCACCACAGAGGCAGCTGCTAACATTTAAGACACACCGACTCTCATCAGTTTAGCAAAAGTTAGTTTATACCTGCCCGGCATCTCCTTCCCCAGCCCCGCTCCCCCCTGCCCCCCCCCCCTCCACTGGAGCAAGTTCCTGCACATTGCAGTAAGAAGACGCCTTGTGTGCTTTCTCGCTCGCTGCACTGGAGGCTTGGTCTTCTCAACCATGAAAGCACAGCTAGAAATTGTTCTCCGAGCTAAACCACTTAACATCTTGGCACTTGGTTGTTTTTAACTTGTCAACAATAGGCACTGTTCACTCCCCTCCATCTCAGTTCTTTATTCAGGAATCAGGCAAGGCACTGATGAAAGGCTAGTCACGGCTTCACCCCATGGTATCAGTGTGGTGGCATGTGATGATTCACATGGGCTGTGTTGGATCCCAGAAAGCCCAGTCTCTGCTTATTCTTCCTTTGTTCTGTCATCTGGGGGCAGGGGCGGGGGGAGGGGAGGGGGGGAAGAGAGAGAGAGAGAGAGTATGTTGAGACGATCTGTTCTCTCTTATCCAGTGCTGGGGAGCCCCCTCCATTTGGGGTTCATGTTGCTCAACCTCCTGAAGTCCGTCTGGTATCATATTGAATGCAGTCATTTGTTGTGTGTGTTTTAAAAGGGAAAACATTTTTAAAGTAAATTTCCATAAACAGAGAGAAAGGGTAGTCCTCTTTGTGGTTAGGAAACAGGGGACCCTGAGCCTTTTCAAGCACAGCTTGCTTGTCCCAGAATCATCCCGGTCATCCCAGTCATTTTGATGGTGACCACAGTGTGGACAATATTTTTAACAGCACCAATGCCGCTGTATTATCGAGGTGATGGTTATAGCTCTGAAGTGATGGTTATGAATGGTGATTGACCTTTCTAGTGAGTTTTGCAAATGCTACGATGCCAGATGATATGATTGGCTATCAAAAGGCACAAAAGGGCCCTTGTATTTCGGCACTTGGTCCTTCCTCTCCCCCTTCTGGGGAAGGAGAGATGCGTCACACAGGTGGGATGAAGGAGCCGCAGAATCCCCTGCCTGCTGACACGTGGGCACAGCAGCACGCTGTGGGGTAGAGTTGCTTTGTTTCATCCATGGTGTGTGACCTGGAAGACGACCCTCAGGGGATAACTCTTTCTTACCCGAGTCCCTGGGCCTCCACTTACCCAGGTGGTGAAAATCCCGCCCCACCCAGCTCGGCTCCCCAGTGGCTGACCTGCTCCTTCAGCTCCGCCAGCTGCCCCGACAGCTGTTTGACCAGGTTCATGGTCGATTCCAACTTCTCTTGCAGGTTCCGAATCTCATTTTGCTCACTGTCACCTTCATTGCTAACGAGAGACATGGCTCGCATCCGAGGAAACCAGTCCAGATTCTTCTCCTACGAGCAAATATTCAGGAACAAGGGAGTCAGTGTGGAAGGCGGCCTGAGCTCCCATACAGAATGGTTACAGCTTTTTAAACCAAGCATGATCATTTGAATCACAGCCTCTTACACTGAACTCAAAAGGTAGACTCTCTCTGGCCTGGCATGGGAAGAGCATTGGGGCGGAATGCTGGGGTAGAGACTGGTCTTTATGGGCTAGGAAAAGATCTCAACTCTTGGCTCCAACTCCTTAGGGGCTCGCAGGGAGGTCCTGGATGAAGCACACGGAGCTGTGCCACGAGCCCTGTGGGCATCCAGCGAGTCTTGCTGAATGGTGATGTAGGTCTGGAGGTGGCGAGAGCACATCCAAGAGTGGGTGGCTACAGCACTGGCATGAGCTGTTTCTCCTCCACCCCTGGCACAGAAGAGAGAGAGGGGTGGTAGAAGAGAAGGGTGGTAAAAGAAATGTTTCAGTTCTAGCCACCCACACTGGTTCAACTCCCACTTCCCCAAATACAGGCTCCCTAGCAGCTTGGTCGCTGAGCTCTGCTCAGGAAAGAGGGAAGTGGGAGGGCATGGCCCCAGTTTACTCGGTCTTCTCCCTTTGGAAACACTGTATTACAGCGGGGGTGAGGATTCAGAGTGAGACTTCCCCCGAGGGCAGGAGCTGGTACCACTTCTGTTTTTTCTAGGAGTGGGTGGTGTAGGGGTGTGTGTCTGTGTCTGTGCACATGTTTGTGAATGCATGCATGTGTGTATGTCTGAGTGTTTCCCCTCCATCACCATAGAAACACTTGGTTAGCCCAGATTCCCAGCTGCTGGAAAGCTCGGCTGGATCGCCTAACATCAGAGAAGCACTGAGTTTTACTTCTATTTGTTTTCTCAATCCTCAACAAAACTCTGTAAGCTAAATCCTATCATCTCCATTGTATGGATGAAGAAACAGAGTTCCCTCTCGCCCCACCCCTACACCCAGTTTAATTATCAAGGCCAGAAGCTAGCAAATGACAAAGCTGGGATGTGGCTGATGACCTGATTGTACTTTTGGTGTACAGAAGTTTGAGAAAATACATTTCTGCTCAGAGCGGACAACGCAGAGAGCCACAGGGCCGGCCTCACCATGAGACACGACGTCCCTTACTAAACCATAGCACTGCGGGGACAACACTGGAGACACAGTGCGGGAATAGTGCACAATCTGACCCCACCAACTGGGGTCAAACAATAAGGGCATGCAACAGAGCAGCAAGGGGAGAAAAGTGATGAAATCCCTGGGAAATACTAAAAATAGACTTGGGAGACAGAGTGTGGCACCCCATCAGACTTGACTGGAAAACACTCGTAAAGGCCAACAAACAGACCTTGAACTACTTATAGGCTTTTCCATTTTTGTCAGTGGCTTTCTTTTTGTTATTGTTATTTTGTTCTTGCTTCCTGCTGTTGTTGTTATTGTTTTGTTGGTTTTGACTTCCTTTATTGTTTTATTTGGCTTTGCCTGGTTTTTGCACTTATTAATGTATCTGCATGTCTATCTAGATAAGAGGTGGGATAAATAATTCGGAGATGAAAAGAACAAGACCAATGGTTCCTGGGGGATATGGGAGAAGGGGAGGTGGGAGAAAGCAAGGTGGGGGGAAAACCAACCCAGGGACAAGGGAACCACAAGTGAACTAAAATAAATGGAAAGAAAGAAGGGTGTGGGATGCCTAGTGGGGCTCAATCAAGGGCAATGTAGCAGTGAGGAATTACTAAACCTGAATGAAGGTCAAACATGATGGTGGGACAAGAGGAACGTGAAAGGAAGCAGTGGAAAGAACCAGAGGTCTAAATGCAGCCATGTACATATACAAATATATTTATATATAAAGAGAGGGCAATAGAACTATGTATTCATATCTATATATTAAGAATTAAGGTTGCAGATGGACATTGGGCCTCAATTCAAGTACTCCCTCAACACAAGAACATGGCATTCTGTGATGTTCACCTTCCCGACATGATGGTTGAAAACAAAATGGGTACATAAGCAAATGTGGTGAAGAAAGCTGATGGTGCCCGGCTATCAAAGGATATAGCATCTGGGGTCTTAAAGGCTTGAAGATCAACAAGTGGCCATCTAGCTGAGAAGCAACAAAGCTCACATGGAAGAAGTGATCATGAGGTGTGATCATGAGGTGTCGATGGGATCAGGTATCAGGCATCTAAGACCCAGAACAAAATCATACCCAATGGGAATGGGGGTGGGGCATGGAGTGGAGACCCAATGTCCATCTGTAGACAACTGGACATCCCCTCGCAGAAGGGTCACAAGGAAGAGATGAGCCAGTCAGGATGCAGTATAGCACCAATGAAACACACAATACTCCTCTAGTTCTTTAATGCTTCCTTCCCCCACTATCATGACCTCAATTCTACCTTAGAGATCAGATTAGACCAGCGCATGCACACTGCTACAGATAAGAGCCTGCAACACACAGAATCCAGGATAGATAAACCCTTCAGGGCCAACAATGAGAGTAGAGCTACCAGGAGGATTAGGGGAGGGTTGGGGGAGAAAGGGGTAATCAATTACAAGGATCAACATATAACCCCCTCCCTGGGGGATGAATAATGGAAAAATGGGTGAGGGGTGACAGAGGATATCAGATATGAAAATAATAATCTATAACTTATCAAGGGTTTGTAAAGGAGGGCGGGTGGGCGGGGGAGGTACGGGGAAGAATTGGGGAGCTGATATCAGGGGCACAAGTGGGAAGAGAATGCTTTGAAAATGATGATGGTGTCATATGTGCAAATGTGCTTGATACACTGGATGAATGTATGGATTGTGATAGATATAAGAGCTCCCAATAAAAGTAAGAAAAAAATACATTTCTGTTCTTTAAAGCCACTGATTTTCATATTTATGTTATAGACACCCCCCCCCAAACAAAACAAAAACAAAGTCAAGACCAATAAAACGCCCACTGACATTTTATCACGGTGATCCTATAGGACGGGCTAGAACAACTCCAGTGGTTTTCCAAGATTATAACTCTTTATGGGAGTAGAAAGCTTCATCTTTCTTTCTTGGAGCTGCTGGTGGTTTTGAACTGCTGATCTTGTTGGATAGCAGCCCAACCTGTAACCCACTAGGCCACTAGGGATCCTTGTACTAAAGCACTACTAGGAAATTAGGCCACTCCCATACTTGAATAGCAGTCAAAGGGTTAATATAGGATTAAGGATGAAAAATCAGTGAATCAGTTAGATCTGCACATGGAGCTGTAGCCAGTCAGTATTTCAAAGGAGAGCAGTAACTTACAAAGGGACGGCTGCAGTCATTCATTCGATCAGCCCCTCTATATCTATTGTCAGGTACTCAGGCACACAGTCTGATAAGACACGTGTCTGCTCTCAAGGAGTTTGTGGTGTAGGACCAACATCACTTGGTGTCAAGTAGATTCAACTCATGGTGACCCATGTGTGTCAGAATAGAGCTACACTCTTCAGGGGTTTCAATGCCTGAGTGTCGACACCTCAGAGAGCCAGGCCTTTCTTCAGAGGCACCTCTGGATGAATTAGAACCTCCGATCTTTTAATGTTTTTAAAGCGCTTCCTTCAGGTCTGTTTTCCATTCCCTTATCAACCCACACATGAATGTCCATCACCCGAGGCACAGTTTATTTTATTTTTTCCCAGGTATTTTATTAGGAGCTAATCCAGACAGCCTAGCATTCCATAGTTCGCTCATATCAAGTAGTGTTGTTCAATCATTACCACAATCAGTTTCAAAACATTTTCTTCCTTATTAAACTCCTTGATATCAGCTCCCCCTTACCAGCCCCCCTCATCTCCCCCACTGTACCCCCAGGAGCCCCTATTCTGATTGTCTCTATCGATTGACCTATCCTGGGTTTTATATCCCGAAAGACATAGAAAAACACATAACAGAGAGTCAGGGAGGCTACCCACAATGACGAAATACAGCAGAGACAAACCCCGATCTGAACGAAAAACAAACAAAACCTCCAAACAACACAAAAATCATTAAAAACCAGATCAAGTGCAGACTGTCTCAGAGGAAGATCAAGTGATAAGATTTTAATCATTCAAGTCAGATTTATCATTTTAATTTATTATAGTTGTCTCTCCAATACTTCTTTCTGATACCCAGGTTATTCCCATCTTTCCATTATGGTTAGAGGGAATTCACCAGAGGCTTATTCCCTGTGTGGATCCTGAAAATGTATCTTGGGCTTCTGCTGTCATCCACAGTCTTTTGCCCACCAGAATCTCATACCGTACACTCTGATACTCATCAACCACAGGCACAGTTTGGCTGACCTTCCTAGCTTTCCCACACTTTTGTCTGTCTTTCTCATCTGTCTGTCTACCTTACCTGCTGGTGAGTAGAAATCTTTGCAGATGTCCTTACAAAGCATGACCTCCCCCTGTACTGGGCCACCATTGCTGTCCCACCAATGAGCCCCCACTGGGCTTCCTCTGTCCATTCCTCACAGCACCTAGTTCAGATCTTCTCCTTTTGCATTTTTGGCCCCAACTGTGCTTATACATTTTTGTCTTTCTAGATGGAAATTCTTAAACTTAGGTGCACATAAAAATCACACACAGACACACCTCCTGAGAAGTTCGGATCTGATAAAGGGTCATGGTAACAAGCAGCCCCAGGAGATTCTGGGACCCACAGTGCACAGTCTCCTCTTTGAGGGGCCCCTGGCCATGGAGTCCTTGAGTGATGCAAAAAACTCGGCTGATGGCCAAAAGGTGGGAGGTTCAAGGCCAGCCAGAGCAGTTCAAGAGAAAAGCTTATCTAGTCCTGAAAAATCAGCCATTGAAACTCCATGGAAAATAAATAATTATAAATAAGTGAAAATTATAAATAAATAACAAATAAATAATTATAAATAAGTGAAAAGCAAAGTTTATTTACCCACTAAAATACTCAATGGGTATTCCTGACACTTAATTTTTTGATATACATAGTCAGTCTTGAACAAAAAGACCCTACCTTT